AGCTAAGTTAAACCGTGAGCAATTTAGCTGTTATATTTACCTACAAATACAGTCACTACTCTTTAGAACAATTCCATCCGCTAAAAAAGCATGAAGCAAACTATCAATTTTACCTGAAGGATTAATTGGCCAAGAGACCAAGAGGAATTCCCTACTCTTTAACATCCACCTGAAAAACCAGAACTCAGTTTAACATCTCATTCAAAGGACTCTGACAATGTAGCATCTCACCAGATCAGTCACTCTGCTAAATATGATGAAGTCACTAATTGATTGTTAGTGTTAAATAACACATTGGAACTTAGCAGCATTACCCGATTACTTTTTCTCAGTTTACATAACAAACTGCATGTTTTTTGGGGTCAGCCTGACACACGCAGAAACCTATCACCATAAACCTATCCAAACCAGACCAGAAGTCCAGATAATCAAACCAGAGTTGCTAATATGATTGCTACCTGAGCATGGGAACCTCGCTTTATCTACAATGGTGTGTGTGTAGTTTCTTCCCATCAATATCAACTCTTACCAACTACTTGATACAAGAGTATGAGTAGGAATCCATCACAGCAGAGAGATCGGATTTGACAGTGACACAGACTATCTTGATGAGAAAACAAACCAATACAATTAAAAGATTTACATTTAGAACAACTCTCAGGTCAGGACATCCGAACATACTGAACAGCCCAGGGTTTGCACCCAATTGGGGACAGCGGAGGTGGGGGGGCAGGAGGCCGCAAAGGGGAAAGATAGGCAAAATACAGTCAGATGTACTATTCCAATAGTTTAACGAAAAGACTGTCCCATAAAGATTGTTAACTCTTTGTGTTTCTATTATCTTCATCTCTCACATGTTCTCTTCTTTCCATTGCTCAACAGATCTCTCAGAAATATTCAAATCATTATTCCTGAATCACACACCCCATCCCACATCCCACATCCCACATACCACTCGAATGCCTGAAAAAATTCAGCCACAAAAGTAAGTCTTGGTTCTGAACTTCCAGTAAGAAATTAACTAGTACTGCTCAGTGATTCATGTGCTGATTGGATTAGTGGCAATGAACCAAGCACGGTTCAAATCCCAAGATGATTGTTGTAACGTTTCTATTATAATTATAAAATCAAGAAGTTTGTAAACATGTTTAATGCTAAAGTGTTTGCAAAGTTAGTTTATGAGAAGATTTTCCAATTTACATCTCTTAAGAGGATGTGTCTCATGTCAGCATAGGTTCACATAAATGAACAAACTTATCATTCCATCATGTGGGACTCTTTTGAAAAATCTAATTTTCAAGACAAACTCATTCTTACCTTCTTAGAGATGCAGCTGAAAATTATGTTCTATTATATGGTTAAAAGAAAGTGTGATTAGAAAAACGATACTTCACATCCTGAATCCATTGACTGCTGAATAAAAGTTCCATTCAATGCAAAACAATTACACCAAATTCAAATGGACACTTGTGTACAGAGCCTGTTTATACACAGTCTTTGGCCATGACATTTACTAACCTGCAAAATCTGCAATTCTAAACAAGAATAGAAACAATTTGGGAAGTCGTTTTTCCAATTAGTCACTTATGCTGCATGATATTCAGTTGGTTATTTCCAATTAACTTATTCAGGCTTTCAAGTGCCAAGAATTAAATTTCATTGTGCAATAAACTAAAGACCATAAGATCGTAACAGAGGTTTACTTAAAGGCCATCTATTTTGCCTCATCCTTCCTGAATAGTCATCTTAGCGCTCTCTGATTACAGCATTAAGCGGTTTCTTAAGTGTGTACAGCCTCCTGGTCTCAACCAGGAGAAGTCTCAAAGATGTGATAAGGCGCTATATTAAATGCAAGGATTATTATTAGTGTTCTCCAAAATCATGAGAGAAAGAGAAATATATGTTTTCCTTGGGCTCCCAATTATGCAATTAGTGCCACAACAAACATTATAATAATAATAATCTTTGTATTTGATATAGGGTCTTATCACGTCTTTGAAACATCGCAAAGCGCTTCATATAATATACTGTAAAGTGAATTGACTGTATATTTTGTGGCAGCCAATTGTGCACAGCAGCGTCCCACAAACAGTCGCGGATGGAAGTGACCAATTAACTTTTGGAATGATTTATTATCCCCGGAAAAGCAATCCACTAAGAACCGGGTTCCTACTTACTGCTCGGTAAACAGAACCGTGTGGCGTGAGGAAACTTGCCCAACATTTCGCGCTGTGAAATGTTAAACGAGCGCTCTAACCACTGAGCTATAGGACTCAACAGTTATACAATTATATTCTCACGTCTATTCTACCCCACAAAATATACAGTCACTGCACTTACAGTCTATTCTGTGAAGCACTTTGAAATGTCTTGAAGACATGATAAAGGACTATATCAAATGCACCTATTACAGAAACAATGAAGCACACAATCCCTTGCATTCGCAATATTTCTTAAATGTCCTGTATGTAAAACTGTGCATGTTTTGGAGTAAGACACCAATAAGCTAAAATGCCAGAGGTGGAAAGACCAGGTAGTAGAGGGAACAACAGGACTGGGAATGAGTTATCTCTCAAAGAACATGCTTAAGGAGCTGTATACCAACAGAAAAAATGAAATACATTACCACCGACGCAAAGCTCAAGGAATTCATTAATTCATATCAGTAGCCACATTTACAACTTAATTTTCTTAAGAATTATGGATCTTTCATTCTGAGGAAAGACTGCATAAGTCACCGTCACATGTGGAATATCCTCTTTGCACAATCGAGCAGCAGCAAAGATATTTATCATTTTTCCTGAAGCTATCAGAAGCGAATATAACTAAAGTAGTTCAAATTTCAATGGTGGTGATGGGGTCTCAGAAGACATATCTATGCTCATTTCTTCAAGCTCAATTTCTTCTTCCTACAGTTATTCTCGTACCCATGTCATTATGTGTGATGGAGTACTTCTAAATGTCAAGTGTAATTTAATAAACGATTCATATCAGAAGGTTTACAGCATTTAATCATCTTATCTATGCTGACGGTAACTCACCACTGGACATGCATGTGTGGAGTCCTGTAGCTCAGTGGTTAGAGCACTCGCTTTGCAAGTGAGAGACCTGAGTTCAATCCCCGGCAGAGGGCGAAACCTTGGGCAAGTTTCCTTACTCCACACAGAGCCTAATAATAATCCCTCCAAAACCAAAAACAATAATAAATTGGTCATTTTCAATCTACGACTGTTTGTGGGACATTGCTGTGAGCAATTGGCTGCCGCTTTCGCCCACAAATATAGTCAATTCACTTTACAGTGTGTTCTGTGAAGCGCTTTGGGACGTCCTCCTGACGTGAAAAGCGCTATATCAAATGCAAGGATTATTATTATTATTATTATTAATCCCGTCCTCCTGCTGTTTAATATTATTATTACTTGGTGTTAGACTAGCTCAGTTTATGGCACTCGCATCTCTGGGTAAGAAGGTTGCGGGTTTAAACCAGCACTTTGAACTCAGTATAGTATGACTCACTCTGCCTTCCCCTACCTCCTCCACATCCACATCACCCAGCTACTGTCTCACACATCAGGCCACTGAGACCCTCATACACGCATTCATTACATCCCAGCTTGATTACGAAAACTCCCCGCTTGCCGCTTGCAGATCATCCAGAACTCTGCAGCCCGTGTCCTCTCCCGCACTAGGCTCCGTGACCCCATCTCCCCCATCCTCATCCGACTCCACTGTTTAAGAACCTGGTCCTCACTTTCAAAGCCTCCATGGCGGTGCACCCCCCTACCTCTGTGACCTCCTAAGCCCTTACCAACCTGCCCACTCCCCTGCTCAGCGGGCTCCGGCCTGCTTCACGTCCCCGCCTTGCCCTCCCCACCATTGGTGAGTGGGCATTCAGTCTCTCTGCCCTCACCCTCTTGAACTCCATCCGTCCCTCTGCCTCACCGTCCTACCTTGCCCCCTTCAAGACTTCAAGACCCGACTCCCAACTCGGATCCAAAACACTGACTGTCCAACGCCTTGGAACGTCCTCCCGATGTGAAAGACACTACACAAATGTAATTTTGCTGTTGTATGATAATGCTGTGTTGGGGAAGTATAATCCTTCAGTGAGATGTCTTATCTGCGTGTTCAGGTAGATATGAATGATTCAATTATACACCCTTCGAAAAGTGAAGTTTCTCCAGGTCTCCTTGTTTTTATTTGTCACTGCAGGAGAAGAGGAAACCCAATTTAATTCAGTTGGTTTCCTCTTCTACATCGCTGAAATGCTGATTTTTTTTAAAGTAAAACTTGTTTAAAATCATATTGTCAAGGCCACAGGGAAATTTCAATAGAAGATGTAACATACTGAATTAAGTCGGTTTCCTCTACTTCTGCGAAAAGAATATACCTAGAATGGTAGATTTGGGTAGGGCAGAATCAGAAGCATCAAAGATGGTGCTCCAGCAGGTAAAGCACTGATTGCAATCTATCTGAATGTGAAACAGTAGAAAGTTTGTAACATGTTTTAATATGTTCCTTGTGTCAAGACATTATAAAACTCTTGCTCCACGTCCCCCAACCTACCCGCCCCACCATTGGCGGGAGAGCCTTCAGCCACTCTGCTCCCAACCTCTGGAATTCCATCCCCCAATCACCCTGCCTCGCCCCCTTCTTAGCCTCAAGACCCTCCACTTCGACCATGCCATCGGCCACCCCCTTCCCCTCCCTTCCACACCCAACCCCGGGTCTGAAATGCTGTACTCTGTCCAGCGCCTTGGGACGTCCTCCGGACGTGAAAGGCTCTATATTAATGTAATCTTGTTGCTATTGTTTATATGACCGCTTTATTTAGTGTTCAAAAGTTCAGTCTTCAAACCAAAGGAGTTCTTGGAAATTGTAGTCCTGTAGAAGGTGATGGTTATGTATTCCGTATATATTTTTATGTAGTTTGCATTCTGATATAATAGCTATGAACAGTTCTGAACAAAAATTCTTATTTTGCCCAGCTTTGCCCTCACCTGAATGAACGTCTCAAACTCCCAGATTTTCCTCGCATTGTAATACTTGGAATCACAACCGTCACTTGGGGTTTCTGAACAAAACACCAGCCATTGTGAACACCGACTTGAAGCCTCCGTTCCTGAATAATGATTGTGTTCCCATCAGTGCTTTGGTTATTCTGTGAAGCACAAAACAGACTTTTATACCTTAGGTTTAAACAAAATACAAATGTACAAAGCCATTTAATTTAAAGATTGGTCATTTTCAATCAACGACTGTTTGAGGGACCTGCTGTGCAAAATTGGCTGCCGAGTTTCGCCCACAAATATACGGTCAATTCACTTTACAGCATATTCTGTGAAGCGCTTTGAGATGTCTAGAAGATGTAAAAAACGATATATCAAGTGCAAGGATTATTATTATTATATATACATACTTTGCTTAATAAAAAAAAGGACAGTAGTGATTCTGATGCACCCAAGTGTCGGGAGAGGAATCAATGAAGAGCAAAAAGGATATGAGCTCTAGTATATGGTATGAAGTGAGGCCACAGAGCGGAGTCTACCCTGTTAGAAACATTGATTGTCCAGCGCCTTGGGACGTCCTCCCAACGTGAATGGTGCTTTACAAATGTAACTTTGTTGTTGTTGTAAGCAGCGAGCAAGTGAAAGGTCTGCAGTGGAACTATAGTTTAGTTTAGTTAAATGCAACAAAAGTGGCCAGCCACGCAGAGCTGTCACAACAGTCAAGTTGGTGAGCTGTATCCAATCATTCCACGTGCATTGTGTTGGGAGTATTTGTACAACCATGGGAATTGTTGGGACGGACGGTGACCTTCAACAAGCAACTAACTAATTACGTGGTTCAGGAAGCAGGATGTCCATTTAAACACAGCAACAACAAATTACACTTGCATAAGCGCCCTTCACGTTGGAAAGACGTCCCACACGCACAATCACATACATATTAAAAAAAGTATAACGTGCGCATGATACTTGTCCTATTTTTTAGTGACAAACGACAAATTACATTTTTAAAGTGTGTGTTATAATTGTTACCCAGACGTGATTATTCATCAGAAAATTCTAAATTGTGGGATTCAGGTGGCTGTGATAAACCATTTCTCCTTTATTCTCTTGATTTACAATGAGATCCATTCATTGTTATTCCTCCCTCTACATTAAATATGGGACAAGTGATTTCTAAAAAGCTTAAGTAATGGAAATTTGCTTCCATTGCCAACAAACTAACCTTCTTCCTGTTCCACAGCAATATGTGGCTATTCAGTAATGTGTATACCAAACTTCTATGAAGTATATTTGCACAAGCCCTTGCCATGTTGTGGGTTATGACTCATTTTTAAAATAAACCACCCGTTGAGTTTTCCATTTCATTAGCAGTTTATTCCCACTGTCCTACTCATTCCAAATAAATAATTCATACGATGCTACATTTATTATTAATAAAAGATACAGTATTACAACTCAAGATTGTTACATCAAAAGCTCCCAAAATGGAAGCTTAAGAGCTCGAGACCCACCAGTGACTGTCACTGGAACAACCACAAAAGCAAAAAGACTGTCATAGAGGCGGCAAAGTAAATCAACAACAACAACAAGATTACATTTGTATAGCGCCTTTCACGTCGGGAGGACGTCCCGAGGCGCTGGACAGAGTTCAGCATTTCAGACCCGAGCTGGGGTCAAGGGAGGGAGAAGGGAGGGGAGGGGAAGGGGGGTGACCGATGGCATGGTCAAAGAGGAGGGTTTCGAGGCGGGACTTGAAGGAGGGTAAGGAGGGGGCGAAGCGGAGTGATTGGGGGACGGACTCCGGTAGACAACTCAAAGAATTCAGTCATTTGCCAGTCAATTTATTAAACTATTAACACAATATTTTCATGCTCAACGGAAATGTAGTAAAATGTATCATAATTCAAAAAACAAATTAGAGTATGTAATATATTTGGCTTGGAAACCTAACCGTAATGGGAATGCATAAAAAGATCATATTTTTAACTGGGGAATCAATAACCCATATATTGCAATCTCTTCTACAGGTTTTCTTGTGAAGTAAATTTAATAATGATAATTTCAACCTTGTCACATGAAAAAGAAAAAAAGTCACTCTGTGACTGTTGGAGTTAAAGATCTGAATGATAGGTCCCAACTTTTAACAGTTTTGGAACGATCCTACTTTATCAAGTGCGTGTGAGTACATCTCGATAAGTAAGAAGTACAATATGCTCCCATGACAGCAGCTGAGGGAAACTCCTTACATTGCATCTATTTTGCAGCACTGATGTCAGTTGCCATCAAAAAACAATCTCTTACTCAGCTAGTCATCAAAATCTGATGGATGAAATCAGTCTCACTGCACAGTAAGAGGTTTACGGACATACTGTACTTTTTACTTCATTTAAAGATGAAGGATGTTTGCAGGACTTGCAAGACATTTCAGTATGACACGTTAATTCCTAGTTCAGGTATAGCATGATTGGAAGCAAAGTACAGCTCCCTCTGCTTTACATCAACAGATGTCCTCAGAAAAATTCGTACTAAAGGCAGCTTTGTGCTACAAGTCCACAGACACAAACGCTAAGTGTCTGAAACGATTTCACGTGGGATATCAGAACAAGTGGAAAGTTTCATCATTTTGAGCTGGATTGAACCCAAATCCTTGAGGTGAATAGCTGGAGCAATAATCCACTGAATCCCTCTCTATATTCCTTTAAAAACTAAATGTATATCATTATCATTATTATCATCCATCACAATGTTAACTATTATAACTGAAAGAAATCATGACAAAAACTGAACAGGAACTAGAACGAGGCCAAACTCAATCTACAAATATTAACTCCCTAAGCAATATTGGGTAGCAGTTGGTTAGATGTGAAACCACAACAAATTGTTCTCCCTTCCAGTCAGTCTTGGGACAATTGAATCTGAAACCTTTTTTAAAAACTCTGTAACTAGTTTCAAACATCTAATCCTTGAGATCCCTGGAGGGTGATCAACCTTAATCTAAAAACAAACTCGTGGCTTGTTGTGGTCTATCTCACTAAGCCCAAATAACACAGTCAATGTGTTTCAATTATCTAGCCAAAATGGTTTCAGGAGTATAATAAATCACAATTATGTCTCGACCAGAGGGGAATGCACTGCAAAATCACACCAAACAGAGATTTAAAATGAAGTCTGTGGAGACTAAATATGGAGAATGTGGAACTGACCAGGAAGGTCCCAGACTCCAAATAGGATCAGATTCAGCTGTGTTGCTCCCACATTCCTCAGCCTGTCAGTATTCACCATCTCAGCTCGAATAGGAAGCAAGGGAGAGGAGGTGGCCGGTTTCACTGTGGCTGTATCCAGCACGAGTCACTCAGCACCCTCCGGAGGAAGGGATTTTCAACTCAGAAGTTGAATGCAATTAAAAACATTATAAATTTTACAACTCTGGAAGATCTAATAAATAAACTGAAGCCACAAATAAACAAAACTAGCAAGCCACAGTCCACATAAAAAAAATCCATTATGACCCCTTTGACAAAAACAAATTGCATCCAATAATCAGAAATGATTATGAAGTTTATCCATGGTAGGCAACCAACCGAATATCAGCTTTCGCCAATAACCAATGTTATTGCCTCCAGATAGCCAATTCCAACAGGACAAGTAAAAGTTATCATTCAGTGATTCTTTTATTATAGGATCCAATAGCGGAATTTGGAGAGTAAAATAACGCAACCCATTTTAAAATCCTAATTAAATTCCATAGGCCATTTTTGGTGGTCTTAATAAATCAACATTATCACCATAATTTGTTTTAACCAGACCTCTTAATGGATGAAGTTCAGAGCACTCTGTAAATTCCATCTTTTTAGGCAATTTTAAGATCAGTGCTAATTTACGGTTGGGGTAAACGTGCTACTGTAGAGGACATGATGTAACCAGTCTACATTATGGCAGATTGCACTGCGCATCAAGTAGGATTGGGTACATCACTTTTAGTGAAGCTTTCTTTATTTTCAGCTATTGCTGTCTTCAGCCATCAATGTCAGTTTCTTAAGAGAATCATCATTTCCGTGTGCAGTGAGCTATAGCGCCTCGTATCAGATTTTCCTCTGGAATTATCATAGTTATCATAGTAACTACCCCAGCTCAGCTTGCCAACCATTTGCATTAGCAAAACAGCAGCTACTCTGCTTCTAGAAAAAAACACAAAGCAATTCTTCAAAATGTCTCAATAGTAAACCTCTGAAATCCTATTTTTGGATCTCATGGCCCTTTTCCTAAAATCATTAGAAATGACCTTTGGTCATCAGCAGGTCAAGAATTACAAAATATATGGTGTCACTTGGCTGTGTCATGATCCTGTCATCACAACCCTCCCTGCCAATGTGCTGAACTGATGGAACGACATTCAGTGTCCTCCAGAATCTCTCGGATGTCCAACATATAATAATAATCCTTGCATTTGTTGGATAATAATAATAATCATTGCATTTGATATAGCGTCTTCTAGACGTCTCAAAGCGCTTCACAGAATATACTGTAAAGTGAATTGACTGTATATTTGTGGGCGAATGCGGCAGCCATTTGCGCACAGCAATGTCCCACAAACAGTCTTGGATTGAAAATGACCAATTTATTATTGTTTTGTTTTGGAGGGATTATTATTAGGCTCTGTGTGGAGTAAGGAAACTTGCCCAAGGTTTCGCCCTGACTGGAATTGAACTCAGGTCTCTCTGTGGAGTACCCCACTGATCTACCAGACCTACAGTGATTCAACCCATTTTCTTCTCCCTCCCCACCTCCACCCCCCGCAATACTGTGGCATCACTTTGTGCTCAAAACAAGGGTATTTTCTCCAACATTCATTCTTTCATTCAATCAATTACATTTTTTTTTAAATCTAATCAATTCAATCAAGACAAATGGGCGCTTTGAAAGCCAGCACTCAAACTGTGCCGTCTTCTCTTGAAGAGGCAGAAGAGCACCAGGCAATTGCAATGTCACCCACAAGCTATGGTATATTTCGCTGACATCTTGGCTAAAGTTCACAGAAACAACACTCCCCCACCTTTATTGCAAAATATAGCCTGAAGCTACCCAAGAATATAAACTAGCTCAAAATGAACCTCTGCTCATGACTACCCCCTCTTTGATTTGAACTACAAACACCTTCACAGCTGAACAACTTCAGAAATACTTGGCTTTTATGAATCTGGTGCAAAGGTTACAACAACTGAAACATTGACCCCAAGTTGTTCATGAAGAAAATGAAATTCCACCTTTGAAGAATAGGTTTAAGAGTATTTTTTGACTGAATTTGACAATAATTAAAAGATCACTAGATTAATGTGAATTACAAATGTCCTTTGACTCATCCAACCTCAACCCTCCAGAACACCCACCCTACTGCCACCCAAAACAGTGACAGGTTGGTAGTGTTCTCTTGATATATATAGTGCCTTTCATGTCAGAAGGACATCTCAAAGTACTGCACGCACCTGACTGGGAGCCCAAGTCAGGTAAACTGAGAAGGGGGTAAAGTTGGCTAAAAGCTCAGTCAAAGGGTTAGGTCAAGGCAGCCTTTGAAGGTGGGGAAGAAAGGGAAAAGGTCAAGGGATTCTAGGATGGACCTCCAGAGCTTGGGGCAGAAAGGCTGAAAGCCACCACTGACAGTGCACAGAGCAGGTAGGAGGATGTGACGCTGGTGTTTGTCAAGTGGAACAAGCGTCGGTGTTACAGGCTCTCAAGAGGTTGCAGAGGTAAAATGGAGTGGGGGGAGGCTTTGAAAATGAGGGCTAGAATCTTGAGCATGATCCACTGAGGCCAGTGGAGCCCAGTGAGGGTGGAAGGAATCGGCTTGTGGAGCTTAGTACAATAGAGAACATGGGCTGCAGAGGTGTGCCACCTGTGCAGGGAGGAGCTGAGGAGGCCAATGTAGGAGCCTTTGGCATAGTCGTGCCTGAATGTAATGGACCGAATGGACTGTTTAACATTCTACGTTTCTATTGCTTCCTGGATGCCAATCACCAATACACACCCATTGAATCCTAAAACTATTTTAATTACCAAAAAAGAGTAGGTTATTCTTGTAAACAGAAAGATCAACCAGTCTCATCAGGTCAGTTATCAAACCAGTCCACCACATTACAGCTACTATGAAAGCAGTCTATTAATTTCGCCAAGTCAAATGCTAAACATATGTTGTTTCTAATATGCTAAACTGTAAGAAGCAACATAGCTGTTCAATCCGTTTCGTACTCCTGCAATTATACATTCATTGAATTTTACAGCACAGGAGGCCATGTAACCCATCTCACCTACGCCAGCTTCCTGAAAGAGCTAGCCATTAAAAACCCTCCCCTTAACCCTTCAAATTTCTCTTTTAACCCACAGAATATACAGTCAATTCACTTTACAGTATATTCTGTGAAGTGCTTTGAGACATCTCAAAGACATGAAAAGGCTCTGTATCAAATGCCAGGATTATTATTATTCAAACATACGTTTTTGTAAGGCTTTTCATGACCTCTCAACTCTCTGGATAAAAAAAATTTGGTATTTTTGATAATAATCTTAAATTTATGGCCTTTAATTACCAACTAACTGACCAATGGAAATAGTTTTCTTGGTGACCCCAGGATACAGCAATTAAATTTACTTTACATTGCTGGGAGATTAACTGCATTGTCAATTTAAACACTGAACTCCACTTTAAGCAGTTACCAATCTTGACTGAAAGAGAACTGAATTAAGATGCACAGCTGAAAGGACAAGATGATTGAAGCACCTTGGATTAGTTACTGCTTCGACATACCTTGGATTGGCCTTAGACAATCTTCCAATCAGTCATCATCATTATTTAAACAAAAATATTTTTGATTACCAGCTCCAGCTGTTCTTCTAAACTATGAACCAATACATTTTTCAAGCTCTCAGCTTTCGACAAGCAGAGTGGTATAGCAGTTCACCATACTTGCCAATTGTTCCTGTGAAGTGAGAGTCTTTGGAGGATGAAAATTAAACTGATGGAGTATCTATAACCATATTCCTATCTTCGTCAATAAGTGCACCTCAAAGGATATACAAGTAGTGAATCTTGCAGGTACCTGGAAACATTTATGTTGAACCTCTGTATGCTAATTGATGCCAATCTCCTGCCAGCAATCTTTCTGGCTGCAAACCAGTTTGAGCAAAGTTCCAACAACAACATATAATCATAGTAATAATCCTTGCATTTGATATAATGCCTTTCACGTCGTCTAGACGTCTCAAGTTCCAGTGATAATTCCGGATTTCCAGAGTTGCAGAATTCACTAATTTCAATTAGTTTCTGAATCTCAAACATCAGATTGCAAAATGTTTTGTGGCAGCCATGAGACAGAGAGAAATGAGTGAAGAGGAAGATTTCAAGACAAAACCATTTATATGGGGCATTTTGGATTAGTGACACCCATGCCATACCTTATTTAGTCTGTCTGCATTAAGCAGTTCCACTAGTTCTTCTTCGAACTTCTCCAGTGTTGGATACAGCTGGATCGACAACTCATCCAGGTGAAATATTGTAGACTTCAATATGCGAGGTTTCTTCAAAGCATCATCTTCAAGCAAAATACAAATAGTTTGTTACAACTGAGTTGAGAGTCCACTCTTCTCAAATAGTCACATTTTTGAATCATTCAGGGACAAGATTTCTAAACTGGTATAGAACAAAAGGCACTCTGTGATAATATTGAGAACTCCAATTTTGATCCCCACAACCACTTAATCACTTTCAACCCCAAATGATCCTGATTGCAGTTTCGTCACTTAGCATTTTTTTAGTGTTTAACGGTATTTCTTAGCAATTTTATTAAATAATAATTCTTGCATTTGATAGAGCGCTTTTATTTTATTCAGTAAGTAGATCCAAGTTGTTTGTGTGTGTGCTGAATTAGCTGATCTCAGCCAGAATGCTACTTGGCATTACAATTCACCTTAACCTCCGGTCAAGGGAAAATCAGCCATAATCAGCCATAAATACCCATTCTGAACCCTCTCCAAATACAGACTGTGTCTGTGATGCCCCTTTTGGTCTAATAGCTCCCAACACTCATGGCCAAGTCTCACTTATATGGTGGGATTCTGAGCCATTTACAAAAAAAGTTTTCATAAAAATATTGTGAATTAAGAAATCTTCAGTGGTTCTATAAATCTTGCTAATTCTATTGTGCAACAATCTGCAGCAACAATCAGAAAAGATCAATGTTATAGGGCTTTCAACATTGAGGACATGCAGATTGAAAGCTGATGGAGACCTCAGCAATCAAAGGAATTAGCTTTGGTGTCATTGATTCTGTCATTCAGCATTAATTGTTTTATATGAATTTGTCCCTGGTGTGCGCGAAGATAACCTCTCTCATCACTGATAGTGGTGGGTCTGTTACACTCGATCAAGAACCCATGGGAAGGAAACAGAGAAATAGAAAGAAATCAGCCAGCGATCCTCTTTCCAATTGCTATTCAATGCCTCTGCTGGAACCTGCCAATGAGTGTATGTTGGATAATAATAATAATCATTGTAATTGATATAGCGCTTTTCACGTCTTCCAGACGTCTCAAAGCGCTTCACAGAATATGCTGTAAAATGAATTGACTGTATATTTGTGGGCGAAACGCGGCAGCCAATTGCGCACAGCAGCGTCCCACAAACAGTCGTGGATTGAAAATGACCAATTTAATATTAAATCTGAGAAAGATCTACTCTCAAAAAAATCTACTGTCTTTTTCATTCATGAAGTAAAGAGATAAACCAATATCTCACTTGCCAGCATCTACTATTCTGTTTATAGGGTCTCTGGGACAAAGCTTTGGTCTCCTTTGAAACTATATTCAGTAACTGTGGCTTCTAAGGTGTACATTAAACCTTCTGAATTTTTCAATTCTGATGGGCATGATGGTGGATAAGGACAGTAACAGGCTCCACTGCAATGGCACCAGAGTTAAACAATTCACTCACAGTGTAAATAATAATATAATCTTGTATTTGATGTAGCGCTTTTCGCATCTTCTAGACATCTCAAAGCGCTTCACAGAATATACTGTAAAGTGAATTGACTGTATAAAGTGAAGTGCGGGCGAAACATGGCAGCCAATTGCACACAGCAGTGTTCCACAATTAGTCATGGATTGAGTGACTAATTTTTTGTTTTGAGGGATTATTATCCCCGGAAAAGCCAACCAACTAACAACCAGGTTCCTACTTAATGCCAGGTAAACAAGCGTGTGGAGAAAGGAAACTTGCCCATCATTTCGCCCTGCCCTGAAATCGAATCCCCGTCTCAGGTTTAAATATCCCATAGCACTACTGGAAAAAAGGGAGATTCTCCTGGTATCCTGATCAACAATCCTCCAGATTAATTGATCATTCACTTCAAGGGTGTATGTGGGTCATTGCCGATGCAAATGGCTGCCAGACAAGAGGTTTGATTGGCATTGAGAAAAACATTGCTCCGAGACTGTGACCAGCAAGCAAACCAATCAGTCTGCAGCACTCAGCCAGGCCAGATCTACAAAGAAGTTTTAGATTCTCGTCTTCACTTTCAAAGCCCTCCAGTCTTGCTCCTCCCTTCCTCTCTGATCTACCAACCTTCCCGTTCCCTCAGCTCGGTTTGCACTGGCCTGCTCCATGTCCCCTACCCCTCCTGGCCCCACCAGCGCCTTCAGCCTTTCTACACCCCATCCTCTGGAACTCCATCCCAGAATGCTCCCCACCCCATTGCTTCTTCAATGCCCGTCTCAAGACTTTCCTCTTTGACCATGGCTTCGGTCATCCTCATACCTCCCCATTGCTCTCCAGGTCTCTTGATTCCAACTACCAGCTCAGGTGCAAACCCTTGACTGTACATCCCTTGGAACATCAGGCACAGACACAATGGGCCGAAAGGCCTCCTTCTGTGCTGTAACATTCTAGGATTCTATCACTCTGATGGGAAAGGCATCACATAAATGCAATCTGTTGTTGTTGAAACATATTTCCATTGAATTCACTGAAAACATTACAGCTCTTCACCTTGACCACACAGGTCCTGTCTAAACCAACATCTAATAAAAATAATCCTGGCATTTGATATAGCACCTAATCACGTCTTTTACACATCTCAAAGCGCTTCACAGAATACTGTCAAGTGAATTGACTGTATGTTTTGTGGGCGAAACGCAGCAGCTAATTGCTACACTACAGTGTAGGCTCAAGGCCGGGAGAAATTCTGTTCCACTATATCTCAAAACTTTACAGCTTAGCAGTTTGTACAACCATTTGAGTGAGCAGTGAAAAAGCCTTCTCCCCAGAAATCTAAGTCAGTATAATTAATTGAAATATTTTTAGAACCAACTTTAAATTATAACTGCTGCCCACAGGACATTAACTGCACTTTGTTACTTACTTGTCCCTCCATAAGGTTGCACTATACCAGGGATGGTTTCTACCCCAGAGATTAACATGTTTTCTGGGACGAGGTGCATAACTTTTTCCAAGGCAGGATGAGTCCGTAGCAAGTACAAAATATGGCTGCCTTCAATCAAGGTCATTAACCTATTCTCTAAAACAAAAAAGAGAAGTACATTACTTAACTATAATGTGTTCTCGAAGTACATTCTTGTATCTAATTTACAATATTTCTTAAGTTACTCCTTCCAATAATATACTGACGCACCACAAATACAGAACCAGCAATACAAAACATACATAACAGTACGTGACTTTAAAATTAGAGCGAAATCAGTTAACAGTGAAATAAGAAAACATTTTTCACACAAATTGTTGTGGAAATGTGATATTCACTAACTCAAGGGTTGTAGATTCTGGATCAGGTTGAAATATTTAAGAGGAAGCTAGATAAATACAGGGGAATCAAGGGATAGATGAAAGGGCAGCAAAATGTTATTCAGTCTGACCAGCTATGATCCAAGCAAATGGCGGAACTAACTTGACAAGCGGAATGGTTTACTCCTGTTCCCATCTTCTTATGAATAATTATCTTTGCATTTGATTCAGCACCTTATCACATCATCAAAACTCTCAAAGCACTTCAAAGGATTTTGCTGTGAAGTCTAATCATTGCATATTTTGTAGGAGAATTTAGGCAAATGGTATTTATAATCTGTGTATATGTCCTCACACACTGAGACTTACACGTGCACAGCAAAAACACATTTTTGGAAAAATCAATAACGTCCATAATTTCTGTGAAACAAACCTGATAGAGTATTTAAGGCATACCTTATTTTGGGACAATTAAGGTCGATCAGTAAACAGATAGGATAATGAAAATAGTAATTATTTGCTACCTTAACCTTTCTGCAATCCAGCTGACTATGAAGAGCTCAATTCCAATTAAAATCATCAGTTCATGGAAGAGTCATTTACCCTTTGCATAATTTGAGGCTTGTATCTGAATATTCAATGATTCTGATATTGGGATTCAATGCAGTCCAAATCGTAGTGAGGAATTCTATCTTATTTCAAAGTGAACAGCTCTCAGGAGGGAGGAATGCAAATTATTACTATCCCAAAAAGACTTATTTACATAGGAAAAGTTAAAATGAAATAGAAATGAATGAGACAATTACAAAAACAGCCTTTTATGCTCAAGCATGTTGAGTTTCCCAACAGAAAACACTGGGCAATGATCATATAACCATAGTACCTCTCCAATTGGCAATTAATCTGATGCTTTGAGTGTCATTATTAAAGTAGAGCAGTGGAGCACAGAGAATATAAAATTTCACTGTCCTCTACATGGAATTTACTGCCCTGTTCATTCTGCAATGTCTTGCACATTCCTCAGCACTGAAAAAAAAATCAGGTAGCAAAAGTCTCAGGACAGATAAAGGTCATGTTCCCTGAAACAAGAACATAATAACTGTTCATTTTCTTTTTATTCTTTGTAAAAGTTTTGTCCAATTTTCTCTTCATCTGATGCCTATTTGATGAAGCAAATGTACACTTCCCTACAGATTGCTATATAGAGCAGATGAAAACTGAACAAAACCATGATATTAATTAAAAAGCAGGGGTTTCTGATTGTATTACCATTTTAAATGCAGTTTTATATTAGATATTAGCATCTAAATCTACATTAGGCTTTCTATTTATATAAACTAGTATTTTATGGGTTGTCAAACATTGCACAATTTATATTTCATAGGATATATCACTTTGAGGTAACCATCAATTTCACATCAATAATATCTATTTATAAATGGTAAGCGAGATCACACTATTATCCATAGGGGCTTTGTTGTATTATGAAGAACACAAAGGAGAACAGCTAAGACAACAAACACTGCGCCATGAAGACACCCTAAAGAGAGATAATTATTTTGTTTTGCAAAAAAAAAGAATAGACCCAATTCAGGTTTTTAAACTAATGAGGTAGGAGCTAGTAAATTTCAAAACTGAGAGCGGAAAGAAGTACAGAGGGTATAATTTTGTCCGTTGCTAATTTAAAAACTAAGATGAATCATGAAAATGCAAATTGAATAAAATCTTGATAGCTTATCCCAATGGCCTGGGTAAAGACAGTGTAGCACTAAACCACATAACAGCATAATAAAAGGAATTCACAGGTTTAAATCCTAGTATCTCCTGAGTTAGCCAATCTCAGCTGCGGTAGAAGGAAGGAAGGTTGTTACAATCGGCTTCAGTACTGTGCATAGGAAGAGCAAAATCAGCCTGGATTCCTCACGCCATACCTCACCTGGAAGGTGCATCTCTAAACTGAACTCAATGGGCTGTTGGATATATTCTTCTTCTACGGATTCTTAACTACTTAATTAGCATTGATATGAATGATTATTGTTGACTGAAGTCAGAAGTAATCTGACTTTTCTCATTTAAATTTTGAAACAGTTAATGTCAGAAAACCTTAGCTCCTTATTTTGCAATGTGGCCCTTATTTAGTGTGACTGACACTTTCTGTCTGCATTGTGAAGATAGCGGCTTTTCTTAATGCACTTCAATATTTCTTGTCACCTCTCTGCCAGCCATACCCAATGCATTCCATGCTCCTCTCTGTAAAATACCCCGAGATGACAGTTGAAGAATTGCTTTGAAATGAAGGAATCTGTCCATCACATACTGACTGACTGAATAGGCTTACTATGTAATAATTCACCGGTGGAGAGGCCGTGAACATGTTACTATTGTAATTAGTGGTCACAACTTGCTGTTCCTGAATAACTGTACTTATCTTTCAAATGGTTGTCTAGGGCATTCCCTTCTTTAATTCCTTTCTGTTGTTGCTTTGTATTCAACAATTTATGCGAAGACGTTTAAACAAAAGCTCTCACTCTTTCCTTATAAATGTGTACTCAGCAAAACCCTCTGAACTACACTCATTGAAGTTTGCGTTGGATTGCTGGCCGTCCCTACCAAATACCATTTAAAAGTAAGAAATAAAAACAGAAATGCTGGGAACACACCACAGGTCAGGCAGCATCTATGGAGACAGGAAAGTGAGTTTACGTTTCAGGTAGATGGCCTTTCTTCAGAACTGAAACATTTACCCACTTTGCTCTCTCCATAGATGCTATCTGACCTGCTGAGTGTTCCCAGCGACTTCTATTTTTATTTCAGATATCCAGCATCTGCAGTATTTTGCCTTTGCACCATTTAAAATTAGACTCTGTTTAACAGCAATGCTTGATAAAATAACGTATGGACAAGAACCACATTTTAACACAATTCAAAAATGCAATTTAAATGCCTGATTTTCTCTCAATAACACCTGAAAAAACACGTCATAACATTTGCAATATCATTGAAAGCCAACGCATCCCCTCATACCATTACGAGGGGAATAATTATCCTTTAATATTAGCTGCCCGTGTGAATAATTTCTTTTATATTATTCAAATTCTATGCAGTAAGACTAAGCAGTTGTAATCAGTGGCAACATTAACTTTCAGATAACTAACTTTCTGGAGTTAGACTTAATGTTGTTTGCTCACTCTTAAGAATGAGGATGTGGACAAACCCAGATTCAAAGCGTATCTTTGATCAGTTTGTTTAGGGTTAGCTGGGTCTGAGGTCTAATACATTCAGAAACCTGTCATTGTGAATAAAGAGTATCCAAACTAGACAAAGTTCCACTTATACTTGCTGTCTAGACATGGAAATTTCCCTTTGACTGGAATGGAAAGTGCACTCTCTCCCTAGAGGGACACATCCTATTTACCCAATTCCAGAGTATAATAATAATAATCCTTGCGTTTGATGCCTTATCACATCTTTGAGACATCTCAAAGTGCTTCACAAAATACAGCATACTGTAAAGTGGATTAGAACAACTGGGTTCCTACTTACTGCTCGGTGACCAGAGGTGTGGGGAGTAAGGAAACTTGCCTAAGGTTTCTTATTAGTCAAATGTGGAGCAACAAGCTTGAATTTGTACATATCTTAAGACTTACTCTCAATGGGGTCCTTCAATTCTGGATGTAGCAAAGCCCTTGGAGTTCCATGATAAAGATTCAATCTAGAGATGGCATAAAGGAAAGTAAAAAAAAATCTTTTATTATGTTAAATGTAGCAACATTTCCAGGAGTAGCATAATCAAAGCTGTATTGATACGTGTATAATAAAGTCCAATTCCAGATGGTGCTGATAAGCAAACTGAAATATGATTTAAAGGTTTCATTGTCTGGCATTAAAAAGAGTTCAAACGGATCTGTAGCCATATAACAGTGAACAGTGCAATAACGATGAACAATGAGGTGACAAATGTCATATTTCCCACAGGGAAAGAGTAATCACATCCGATTGACTCAATCTGGACCAGATAACTCTTCTCTTCCCTTGGACATAACAGAGACTTATATATGGTGTTCAAATAATTCAGTCTCTCGTGTTCCAGTAATCCTTTTCCACCACCTGCTTGCCAATTTCAAGTTATTTCATAACTGGAACTAGGAGAGAAGAAAATACATTGACATTTGTCTACTTTAGCACGAGGGTATTCTCAAAAAAAAGTGAGTCCGCTAATTCCAAACCATAAATCATTGCTAATCTCAATTGATCAGACAAATAATTGTGGTATTGTTACCAAAAGAATATTGTGCATGCTGGATTTTAATAGAGGTGTTTTGTTGTAATGAAAAAGTAGATTTAAATTGAGTTCACAAACTTTTCTTTTAATTATTTGATGCTTGAAATTAAATCTATTGTGATTCTGACCGTTTAATTCACCTTGACTTGATTTATTGGATTCAAAATAGCCACCTACTTATATACTAACAACTTCACTTTCATTTGGAGGAGTGATGATTGTGAAGAAAACATTACCAGTAATCTATACAAGATCTGATGACAGATTCATTTGAACTCTTATTATTGCCCAAAATAATGCATTAGCAAATCACTGGCATATTTATTGATCAATCACTGAAAGTCTCCAGTCAATGTGAGGTTGTTGTTAAAGTTAGGTTGCATCCAATCAAATGATTCTTACTTTATTTGATTACCGGTGCTGTTAATTTGTAATACCGTCCATATTTCTGGGTACTTTACCTTCCAATACTCTTAAGTTCCTAAGAAGCTTTACAATGTTTAGTTTGGGCAAATGATTCCATGTAAAAGACACAGGGTGAAATTGCACAGCATTTTGTACCATATGAGAAGAAAATAACCAAGCTAATAATCTAATAATCTCAGCCACTCTCTCATCTGTACTGAACAAATCTACTGAATTTGTTGGCCGGACTAATATAACAGGCTGCCTACGGTTAGGTGTTTTGGGCATCCCATTGTAGGAAATAATAGAAAAAGTTGAATGACAGTGATTGTGAAATGAAGGCTTTTTTCACTAGCGTTGAGAAGGTTAATCACACCATCACACAGAGGATGCAGCTCAGGGTCCTGGCCATATCATCCCCAGGTTCCTGTTCGCCAACCGGTTCCTCCGCTCTCCCCGCCACGCCTCGCAGATTCTTTCTTCTGACTCTCACTGCTCTCCTGATTGGCTCGTGCTAGCCTCTCCGCACCTCGGGCGCTGGCAGCATCAGCCTCCATGGCTGCACACTCACTAAGCCAGTCAGGAACCTGGGTGTCTTGTTTGACCCTGAACTGTTCTTTCTCCCCGACATCCGCGCCATGACCAGCACTGCCAACCACCACCTCCACAGCATTGCTGTCTCACCCCTCAGGCTGCCAAAACCCTCACCCACGCATTCAAGGCTCGATATTCCCTTCTCATCGGCCTTCCCAACTCTTCCCGTTGCAAGCTGCAGATCGTGTACTCTCGCGCTCCAGGCTCCGCGACCCCATCACTCCCACCCTCACCCGACTCCACTGGCTCTCCATCCCCCAGAGGATCGAGTTCAAGATCCTCGTCCTCACCTTTAAGGCCATCTGTGGCCTTGCCCACTCCTAACTCTCTGACCTGCTGACTCCCTACCAACCTGCCCACTCCCTCCGTTCAGCGGGCTCCGGGCGAGATGGCTGGTGTAGAGAAAACACACAAATGCAGACTTGATGGAGCAAACGGCTGTAACAGTCTATTGTTCTATAGCTGCGTAACCCAGCACTTGTAAGAATGCAATATTACTCCAAAATGAAGTTGTGGAGAATCCTGCTATTTGTCGCAACGATGTAGTCGGAAACACAGGTACAGAGAAGGCACAAGAGACAATGATGGACAGTTATCAAATTGGGAGGTAATAAATAAATTTCCACCAGTGGCGAGTTAAAGGAAAGGCACCAAATATACTAACCGCACTCTCCACTTCTGACAAGTGGAACTAAGAGCGACAGATTTCACCTATTTCACTGATCCAAAAAAAAAGAATTTAGAAAAAAATTCCTGGAGAGATCCAAAAAACATGCAGCTGGACCACCGATTACTGCCTCCATTCTCCAAAATGAGCCTACAAACATAAATTACTGCCATTGTGGAGTCCGTAGCTCAGTGGTTAGAGCACTCGCCTCGCAAGCAAGAGACCTGGGTTCGATTCCCAGCAGGGCAAAATGTTAGGCAAGTTTCCTTACTCCATACACCTCAGTTTACCTAACAGTAAGCTGGAAGCCGCTTGTTAGTCAATTAGCAGATCGCTTTTCCGCAGGTAATAATTCCTTTCAAAAAAATAATAAATTGGTCAATCCACGACTGTTTGTGGGATGCTGCTGTGCGTAATTGGCCACTAAAACCTCTCCTCTTAACCCTTCATATTTCAGTTATTGCCCACAAAATATACGTCAATTCTCTGTAAGCACTTTGAGACATCTCGAAGACGTGATAAAGCGCTCTATCAAATGCAAGGATTATTATTATTATTATTCCTTCCGTTATGGATCTCAAGTAGAGGGAATTTCATTGTCTCACTGCGGTGCACCTGAGCTGGAAATGCTAAAGATAGAAATCTGCTCCACAATATTGAGCAGGGAAAATAACAAAAAACAATATTGCAGTTCTAAAGCAATAACTGTATTAATAATAAATAATAATCCTTGCGTTTGATACAGCGCCTTATCACATCTTTGAGACGTCTCAAAGTGCTTCACAGAATATACAGTAAAGTGAATTGACTGTATATTTTGTGGGTAAAAATGCCAAAATATTGACAGAAGAATTGATAAACTATTGATAAAAGTATTGATAGCAATACTGACCTTTTAACCTGAGGCTGGGTGGTATCTGATGTGGGTTGCTGCCTGCTGTTCAAGGGGAGAATGCCAAACCCACACGAGAGGACATTTTGAGTACCGTCACGTTTTTTCACAAAAGCCACCACTTCCACAATGATCACAATGTGGGTGTAGTTTAAGAACGTTTGCAAGTAAACAGCCTGAAAAAAAANGCACAAAACAAGGAGGACATGTGAAAACTTGGCTTTCTTCAACTCTGTTTGGCTTTCCAATAATAGGTGTTCCTGATTTGTCTAAAATGCCTGCAGCATTCTCTAAACTTCACAAGCTTTATTTCCTACAATGTCTATAGCTCCTCTTCCCATTTCTTTACATAATTGCCATTTTATTACAGACAACTAAATCAATTGTTCATTTCCCCCAATTTAACCTTGTTCAATCTAAAGGAAAAGACAGCACAGGCTACAGACTTCATCATGACTGACAGTGATGTTACTTGATGGTAGCACTTGTACCGATTTTGGAGCAGGAATCATATGTAGCCCCCAAAAAATAACACTGATAACCAAATATGGCTAAAATCTGCCCTCGAGGCATCTTAGTCATTCTTAGTGTATAGTCAGTGAACGCATCATTAAATGATTAAACAGTCATACATAATAATAATAATCCTTGCATTTGATATAGCGCTTTTTACGTCGGGAGGACGTCCCAAAGCGCTTCACAGAACACACTGTAAAGTGAATTGACTGTATATTTGTGGGCGAACGCGGCAGCCAATTGCGCACAATTGTGTATTGTATGTCCCACAATACAATACAAATATCTAAAAAAAAAGCTGTTTTGTTTATCCTAGCCAATACAAGAACCAGCCCTGATATAGCTGTAGACGTAGCTCTCTCTATGATGTAATAAATAGGCCAATATCAACATGTCAGTAAGCAAATTACGGCCTACAATCAAAAGCTCACACGGGAAGATATTAGAAAAAAACATGTAAATGTCATCAGTTAAATATAAATAACTCTTCCATTATCTAATGCTGCCAACGGATTAAAAATGAGCATTCATAGCTGACAGATGGTTGACTGTTATGAAGGGATGCTTTCGTCAACTCAATGGCAAAAATCAGCAGAAGGAGTCTATTAAGCAAACATTCATCCCTAGTTGCAATTTTTATGCTGAATATTAGTGCTAAGTGAATTTTCTAACAGTAGTCATATGCTGTCTATAATTTAATACAACAATTAGTCAGTTAGATCATGAAATTACCCATAAAAGTTTTATGTAAATTCAAGAAATTAGTTTCATTTGGCTGGACCTTGAGTGTTTGTTATCTGAAAATCTACATTAAAAGTCATTTTTGTATACTAAACACATAACCATAACACATATTTCATGTTTATAATGGCATCTTTCAATAAATTTAATCCAATTACCTGTTCTACATGTTGATGGAGACTGCATGGAAATGACGTAACAACTATTTAGGTTTTTATTCACAAGATTGTAAACCCGAATACTTTCCAAATTTATTTGGGGGTCTATTTCTTCTGTCAAAAATCAGGAGAAAATTTGAGGTGGTGGGGTGGGGGTGGGATTTAACACATCGGGTCCTTAGTGAAGCATCTCAAAACCACATGGTTGCAATGTCAGTTCTGGGAACGCACAGTAAGCTAATAATAATAATAATCCTTGCATTTGATATATAGTGAATTGACTGTATATTTGTGGGCGAAATGCGGACATGTTGAAGCTGGTTCAAATTTGACCAGTCTACCACTAAATCTGCTGGCCTAATTCAAAATCTACCATTTCTCCCCGTCTTCAGCCAAATACTCCTTCTACTCTAGGATCAGGAGCCCTCACGCTCCTGTAACACGAATCACCTTCTCAGTCACTTTCCAATAGCAAGTACAAGGTGCCTTGTGTCCAAAATCGAAAAAAAACGCTCAGCGACCACTGATTTTTACCCATTTATCCCTCTGCCATCTCTTTCCCAACCCTTCACTCTATCCATAACCCTTCATTGTCACCTTCCAATTCCACTCCTTCCTCTCGATTGACTCCTTCCAATCTAGTGCTTCCCACAGCAAAAGCACCATTTTAATCTGAGACTAAGCCTTTTGGGGATTCCTTGACCTATCCCCAGCCTTCAACACTGTCAGTCACTCTATCCTTCTCCAGTCTACCTTCCTAAACCACCCCTGGGATTAGGTACTTTGTTAATATCATTCTTACCTGTCCCAACGTACTTTCCTGGTATCATTCTTAGCTGTATAGATCGTTAGTCAGACCCCATCTGGAGTACTGCCTTCAGTTTTGGGCACCACACCTCAGGAAATATATACTGTCCCTGGAGGAGGTCTAGTGCAGCTTCATCAGAATGTTACCAGGCCTAAAGGGGTTAAGTTACGAGGAAAGGCTGCGTAAACTTGGATTGTATTCCCTTGAGTTTAGAAGGTTGAGGGGTGATTTGATTGAGGAATTTAAGATGATAAAGGGATTTGATAGGTTAGATACAGAGAAGCTATTTCCTCTGGTGGGGGAATCCAAAACAAGGGGCGTAGTCTGAAAATTAGAACCAGGCCAATTTAAGAGTGAAATCAGGAGCATTTTTTCACTCAAAGGATGGTAGAAATCTGGAATTCGCTCCTCCAAAAGGCTGTGGATGTTGGGTCCACCCTCACCTTCAAGAGTGAGGTTGATTGATTATTGGTAGGTCAGGGTATTAAGGGATATGGGAAGAAAGCAGGAAATTGGAATTGAAAAGATTAGTTGAGGTGCAGATCAGCCATGATCTAATTAAATGGCGGAACAGGCTCAAAGAGCTGAATAGCTTCCTCCTGTTCCAATGTTCATTATATGTCCTCTAATAGCTTCTCTTCCTAAAGGCACTTAATCACTTAAATATGGCTCTATCATCAGTTCTCCTCTTTCCTCTGCATACTCCCCTTTGGTGAAATTCTCCGTACAAATCCACGCGTACACCAAATGTGACACCAAACTCTATCTTTCTGCCTCGCCCTTGACTCCAGGACCACTGCTGTTGTAAAACAATCTGCCTGTCAGACATCAAGTGCTGGAAGAGCTTTAACTTTCCTCAATTAAACAAGAAAGCCTAAGCCACCCTGCTCGGCTTTTACCAACACCTCCTCACCACCTCCAGCTGCTTGCTCCATCTTACACAACTAGTCGGCATTTTGTTTAACCATCACTTCCTCCTCATGCCTTTTATCCATCTAAAAGTCTCTCTCTTTGACTGACGCTTTTAAGACTGATATCCCCATTATCTCTCACCCTGATCAGGCTCCTATTCAATCTCTGTGGAGTGCTTTAAGAAGTTTCATGATATGAATTGTGCTGTACAAGTGCAAGTTTTGTTGCTGTTGAGCTTGATCTCACAACCTTCAGACCTAGAGGCAATAGAGTTATGAAGCAAGATAAGCTGATAAGCAAAATCAATGTTAAGAAACACAATTCTACAACAAAATTCTTTGAAAACTTTTCCTGGTACAAATATATATAATAATAAATAATAAGTTATTTCTATTATTGTTATTGTACTAATATTATATTATAATATTTTATTATATTATAATACTAACATAGAACCTCACTATAAACATTTTAAATAAAAAAATGTATTCTTATCTGACAATGATTGTACTGTAATATATGTTCAATCATTGCTACAGAGATTTAGTCACATCTGTCAAAAATCAGCATTGCAAATAGAATTACCGTGTTAGTATTCTGCAATAAAACATGTAAATCACAATACTGAGCCCTACGATGCATACCATAATCAGTGAAAAAATTAACCGCAGCTAATAAAGTTCATGTATAATTTGGTACTCCAGAAAAGCATCATTGTCAACTGCATTTTCAAGTTAATATATGGCTCACAAAGAGATAAAAAAAAGCAGACTGCCTTTCTATATTTGGTAGCAATGCTAAGCTAAGATTCAACAACTTTCTAAGAAAAATTGATATCAATTTGGTTCTTTATGCATTCAGTCTGCATTACCTCTAAAAAAGTCAGTCTCTATTCAGTTCTATGTATTCATTTGAAATACATAATTACTTTATGCAATTATTTAAAAAGGGTCTCCCACAGGTGTCCTACTTAGATGGTTATATTTACATTGTGGAATACATTTTAATGGTACACACTTTGATATGTCCTCCCAATGTGAAAGGAATTATATCAAATTTAAGGATTATTTTTTATTTGTAGGTTCAAACCCCTTGCCCAGACTTTGAAATCACAGTCCAGGCTGATACTTCAATACAGTATTAGGGGTGCTCTGTAATGCTGGAGGTGACATCCTTTGAATGAGACATTAAACTATTACATTTGCAGTAAATCTGTGAATCCCTTTGAGTATACTACGAACACAAGGGGTCCCAACAAAGACTCACCCAAAGACTCAATAAAATGCAGTCACTACACTTTATAGTAATACCTGTGAGGCAAACTCCCAATGTTAAAGCCGCTATATCAAACACATTTACCAACAAAATACACACTATACTTTAGAGTGAATGCTGTGAAGTCCTTTATGTCCTCCTGAAGTGAAAAGCGCTCTATTAAATACAACACTTATTACTAACATTATCATCATTCAGGGTTATTATAATGAGGCTCACACTCAAAACCTCTCCCCAGTTTCCATTATGACTGCCCACCACTTCCTTCCTTTATGTCAGTTACTAATTGACATCCACGTCTTACCCATTGACATTAATGTGTAAAGGAATCTCGTGTGCCCATGGTACATGGTAGGGTTTAATTGCAGAACAAATGCATTGGGGTGTTTCTGGATTATCCATCTGATAATGTTAATTTCCAATTAATTCTGTTCTCATTATCCTGTATTATTCTCTAACTCAACGGGACACCCAAATAGTCCAAAAATTGGCTCAAAATATAATGTTCAGCAACTGCATGATGATAATCTAATCTGTCCTTAATTAAATCGCTGCTGTATCACTCTGATGCTATGGATGTATGCCTCCTGCTGGTCATTTAATAAAGGAAAGTTGGTGCCAGAAGCCATGGAGCAAGGAGCCTGCTGCCCAATTACAGCCTCCTGTAGACTACTGCAGCTGGCATCTCTTTGCAGGACACACAACTCTAAGAGGAAGAGACAGAAACACCTAGTATAAATCAGAGGTAAAATAAAACAAAAACAAC